AGCGCCAGCATGACCTCCTTGAAGTTCTTGTTCCCTACAACCCGTTTCTTTATGGCTCTGACTGCGTCTCTGGGTCTGTAAACAGAGAATTTTCTACAGTCAGAGGAACCTCCAGAGGACCAGTTTGTTCCTGATGCTGAGAGATAACACATAAACACACACCCTTCCTCCGAGCTGTTGACCGTGTCACAGATTTCCATGTTCAGCGCCCAGTCTTCAGACGGCAGGCTGGAGCCGGTCGCACGCTCTGAGAAAAGTGGGCGAAGAGAAATTTAACGCTGATGAATAACATGAAACTACAAACTGTTAGGGAAAAAAAACAGATCTCAATGTTGCCTTTTTGTATTATTTGGTTATTCATTTATGCAAAGTACATGTTTCTAACAAGTATTTCCTTTTAGAGTACACCGTGTCCTTCCTCTGTCACTTCACACATTAAGTTTGCAATATTTTGGAATTCCTCAGGGATCAATCCCAGGACCCTTAAGCTTTCTTATATATGTAAATGATATAAACTCTGTGCTTAGTCAGGGAATCTGGATTTAAACTACATGACTAGTAGACAACAGGAAGCCCAAGTGAGATTGTACATTCCAAGTTCTACCTCAGAAATCAGAAAACTTTATTCACAACCTCAATGACTTTTGTAACTGTGCTAAAAACCAAACGCCTTGAAATCTTTCTCACCAGCAGGTGTTGTGATTTGTTTCATGCGTCTACAACAGTGCTGTAGCTTTAAAATTCTTAGTAAGTGTAATAATTTAGCAATTACTAAATGATTTTGTCTGCGTTTGTACCAGATACATCATGACTATTTGAGCTAGTATATGAGGATTTTTACGATTATTTTTTACCATATGATCAGTTTATATGATGACTCTATATTCTGTCTTCTAATTACGTCATAAATCTTGAATCAAAATGTTCCACAACACCCACTATCATGAAAAGGTGTGTAAATAACACACCTTGTCTGTTATCAGGACGTATTTTTGCATCATTACATATCATGCTGTCGTGACAAATCACGTCCTCCCACTGACCCTAAACATAACCTTAATTCATTGTAGGCTTAAAATGCAAAGACATGACATGCAAATGTGTCTAAAGTAGCGTGCCATTCATATGCAAACGCATAATAACATGTTACCCCACACCCACTTTGCCCTCTGGCATCGGTTTCTTTCAAAAGGTGCAGGTAGAGTAGTAAAATACTAAATATCTGTGTTGTGCATCAGGGCTGGAGGAGCTGAAGGCTCCAGCTTAACATCATGTTACTGAAGTGGTTAGTACAGCATCAATCCCTTTGTGAAATATGTAAAAAATGAAATGCAATCATCTGTCCATTATCGATGCATGGCTTTATCCTCTGTTGGGTCACGGAGCCGATCCCAGCCGACTCAGGGCGAAGGCAGGGTTCATCCTGGACCCGAACCAAACTTAAACTCACACAAAATCACTAATTAACCTCAGAATGTCTTTAGGAGGAAGCTGGAGAACATACAAGCTCCACACAAGACCCCAAGACCTTCTAGCTGTGAGGTGACACCCCCATGTCGTCCAAAATGAATTTACTTAAACACGATAATTGCATTTAAGTAATATAAGCTTTGTAAGACAGCTGCCTGGTACCAGCTGACCTCACTAGCTACTCCTCAGTTTTGTTCTTTAGCCTTGGGCTGCAAAATGAATTAAAATTTTGACCAATGCAACGAGCAAATCACAAAATCCTGCAAATTAGGCAACACGAGGCGTGGCCGGTTAACACTGACACTAATGCTGAAGTTTAAGTCTATTTAATTCAAGCAGATCAAAACTTTGCGGTGCTGTTTGTTCTGCCCATTGATCAGCACGACGCAGACACGACGGTTCAAGTGGCATTAGCATCTACTAGCCACACCTCTGGCCTTTCACTGAGGTCTGTGGTTTCATAACTTCATGCCTCCTTGTGCGACAGTCACACCTCTGATGACATTTTATTAGGTAGTACTGGTTGATCGGGTTTTAGATCTGAACTGAGCCTTCACTTTTATAAACACAAATATAATCGTCTCAATTTTCCTCAAATCCTTCGCTTCAGTTGTGACTTTTGGTAGCAGAACATCTTCTGGTAATATGATGCCGCAAGAACAGATAAACGATCTGATGGTTACTGCAGAGGAGGCAGGAAGTGAACTTGGACAGACGGAGGGATTCCTTCTGCAGTCTTGCACGCAGATGGTAACGTAGGAACGAAAATCCTGGCGCCCCCTCACCTCCGCTCTGGCGAGTTACATCAGAGCGTGCGGGGGCGTCTGAAGGTTGTATGTGCACCGGTGAGGATGGATCTCTGAAGGAGGCTGAGCAGTTTGGAAATAGCTTACTACTGCTCAGTCTGAGCTTTTATTGGCAATGCAGCAGACGCTGTGCTGCGTGGTCTCAGTCACACTGGTTCTGGTACATCGTGTTTGGAAACACCACAGTACAACCAGCACGCTGGCAGGTTTCCTTTGTTGTCTGTGTTCTATAAAATGTGGATATATTTTTGTCTTTTAGGTGAATTTACGCTCTTTAGGGTGAAGCAGACAAGAGCAGCGTGGATGTTAATGTAGACAGGAGTCAGTTTTAATAACAACAACAGCATGAACAGGTGACTGAATGGATGAAAATCTATAATATTTAATATAAAGGAGGGAATAACAAAGCTATAAAAACTGATCTAGTGAAGTTTTTAAATAAATCCCTCCAAGTATTTGAATATACAGTCGTGACTCGATAATCCGACACTAAATGTAAAACCTTCTTTTATGTCGGATTGTCAAGACGGAGGTCGAGCTACAAGGAGGGCTTGATGCTGGAAGGCTCATTAGTTGTTAATTATTGTTCATAGTTGTTATAATAACTAGTAGGACTGGTCCCAATAGCACTTTCTGGTCCCTGGATATTCAGGCCCAGTTAATGATGAATATCTGAATATTGGGTGCAGTCGGGGGACACTTCCACCCCGGGGCACCGCTCTGACGGGGTCCTCTTCTGCGCATGCGGGACACTTTTGGGTCGTATGAAGTTCACACAGCAGATCACATACAAGTTGCATTTAATTGGAAATGTGAAGGAACTCACAAAGAAATCCTCATTGAGCATCAAGTCCTGCAGTGTGAACGTAGCCAATCTGTGGGATTGTTCAGTCAGATAGCAGGTTTAGGATTGTAAAGGGTCGATTATCGAGTCACGACTGTATTCGTCAAATTTAAAATAAATGCATCATTATTTTCTCCTCTGGGGGACGAGCCTCTGCCTCTGGTTTACATGTTTTTCACATTATAATAACAGTTGCCTCTAAAACATGACCAGCATATCCAGAGTACCTACAGTACCTTAATTATCAGGAAAATGAAACATAAAATTCAATCTAATCCTGATTTAAGTAAATACGATGTAGTTGATTGTGGCACTAATGTGTCTCTAATATTAAACCACACTCGCCTCGCTTAAGCCAAATGTTTTTTTTTTAAATGTTAGCTGCAAAGAAGTTAAAACAGAAACATATCTGGTCTCATTTAAGCACAGATTGGCCCATTTTGCTTTAAATGCAGCTTTCTCCTCCTCTCCCACCGTCTAACTGTTCTGCTAAACAGCCACCTCTGAGCTGCAGCCTACATGCTGCAAATGTCAAGTTCTGTTTTGCACTAATTCAGGCCCGCTCGGTTCTTTTGGGTGAATTAACCATTTTAATGACCAGCTCTGGCCTCCCTGCATGCAAACGTCCCAGGTCAGCTCAGTTCAGTTCCTCAGCACCAGTTCTCAGAGAACCCAACAATCCCAACGTTCCCTTTAGGTTCCCTTTGAGCAAACGCTTGGCAACAGAAATCGAAGAACAACAGAACCAGGCTCGAGGCGGGCGGCCGTCTGCCTCGACCGGTTGGGCTGAGGGCGGGGAAGACGATTTTGCAGAAACCTTCAGTTAATCCTGGGTTTAGCACCACCTGAGACTAAAGAAATACAACCACGCCCGTGTGTTTCCCTCCTGTAGCTACATGGTGACGTCTTATTTACTGCTGTTTGTTTACAGTCTATTTGAAGTTATTCGCTTGTTTTCACTGTGAGGCACTTTGGCCACCACTTGGGCTGTTGTGCAGGGATTTATAAATACACTCTGATTGATTGATTGATTGATTGTAGAGGTGCAGTCAGACCATTCTCCAGCACAGACACACTGCTGTGGAGACAAGCCTGGCTACGTGAGGCCACAGCTGAGCCATTTTATGCCGGTTAGGGATTATTTTAAAAGACTACACTTATAAATATGTAACTGTGACAGAGACCAGAGAGTTACGTGAATAGGTTTCACTATTGACATGCAAGTCATGTGCAAAAAAAATACCAGACCGTCAACATACCAGACTGTTTACAGGTGTGTGAGCTGAAACACTACAGGCAATACTGATAAACATGGAGGCTAACATGTAGACCAGCTCACCAGATAAAGGAACAAAGACATTTATGTGTATATATATAAAATATGTGCCACACATTTTAGTAAAATGTTAATTTTTTATTTTTTTTTAAAATAAAGAATAGTTCTCCCTCCATCTGCTGCATCCATCTGCTCGTCTAATTGCTTTAACGACCACCTCTCGCTGAAAACAATGTGCTATCATTGGCTCGGTGCATCAGATTTGGGTCAGAGGATGTGGGCCAGTCCGGGTCCCGCCCAGCTCTCTGCGGGCTCAACCTCCGCAGCGGCAGCCAATCAGCGACGAGCATTGACCGCTTCCTCCCGCCTCCCGCGCGTCATTGCCCAGCGCGCACGTCAATCAAACACTAAGCCCTTGTTTCTGCCGTCTGCCTTTAATGAATTTAACTTGATTTCAGCATTTTCTCGCTACAAACGCATCTCGTCCTTTAGGAGGACGTTGTGGCGAACAGCAGCTCTGCTCAGATGCTCGAGCTGCACATCACTGCGGCCTTTTTCTTTCATAATGACGGTTATAATGGAGCTCACCGATTTTCTGTCCCACCGGCGTGGCGAACGGATTCCCCATCAAGAACTCCATGATGAGCGCAGGGAGGAAGCAGCGACGTCCCGGACCGAGCCGAGACAACAACGAGCTGCTGCTGCTGCTGCTGCTGAGCTCAGACTGGAGCCCAGCAGCCTGCGTCAGGCTTTAAAGGGAAAGCAGCCTGCAGACAGTGTAGCAGCGTTCAGAGGCTGGAAACAGCGCCACCCACAGGAAGCTGTGATGTCTGCACCCAGCAGAGGAGCTAAAGCTGTCTGTGCATCAGCTGGTCTGACACCAAAGTCATAATCAGGCTTTAATTGTGAAAATCTATCATTGATTTGCATATTAAAAAGGTATTTTGCTTTGAAAATTTACAAGAAAATGGCATTTTGCAGATTCTAATAATATCAAAAGACAGTAAGCAAATACTAATATTAATACCAAACCATGCATGGGTGGCAAATTAAAGGTCCCATATTGTGGCCCTTCCCTCACAGTGTTTTATTTATTTATTCACTTTTTTGTTCAAAATACTGCAAATATAATTCCTTCACCACATCTCCTGGGTTTATAGCTGAGCTAAACAGGCTCTTTTACTCTGAAAATCAATGAGCTTTGAGATTTATTATTGACTTGTATGTAAGAGACAAAGTTTAAAGGTCTTTTGCTTTTAAGAAAAATGGAGCCCATACTGTAGAAGTACAGATAATAATATTAAAAAACAGGAAGTCAACACTAATATTAATACCAAACCACACAAATTAAAGGTCCCATATTGTGTCCATTTTCAGCAAATTAAAGTCTCATTTTACCTCATAGTTGTTGTTTTTTTTCCTTTGTTTTTTCTTCTTCTTTTTTAATTTTTGTAAAATTTTTTACTACTGCAAATATGGTTCTTTTCACCTTTTCTAACCAGGCTCTTTTACTCTGAAAATAAGTGAGCCATTGCTGTCCCAGCCGCCTTCAGGAAGAACAAACTTGAAGCTGGGGGGCAAACCAGTTGTGGCAATGTGTGAGGAATGACAGTAGTTTTATCTTTGTACACCCAGCTGAGAAGTTAAATCTGTCTCTGCATCAACTAGTCTGACACAAAAATAATAATCATGCTTTAATTTTGAAAATCTATTATTGCATGTGAGAGACATGGCTGTTCTAAACAGGCTCTTTTACTCTGAAAACCAATGAGCTGCTGCTGTCTCCGATCTTTGTGTGCCACAGTTTGAGCTGGACAGCTACTGGTCCGTCAACGTGGAAGAGATCGCTCTAGTCAGGACAGAACTGCTTCATCATAGATAAAGCTGATCACTCAGAAGAACTTGATTGTCTTGCAGTGAACCTTGATCAAACCAAGTGGACTCAAACCCACGACAGCAAAACGCTCCAACACTGTGGAGGTCAAGAGTTCAGGCCTGTACTGTTCTCCTGCTGTACTCTACAGATGCCCAGTTGTTGAGAGTATGCTAGATGATGATCCATCTGTAGATCAGTGCCTCTGTTTATCTGCACCACTGAACTTTAAAATGTGCATCCATCTTTGTAATGAGGCTTCATGCACTGCTGCCCTCACATCTCATCCTCCTAACGGTCAACTGACTGTTTATGCAGACAGTCTGATCAAGTCATGCGGCTACAATCTGAGTCACCTGAGGGACAGTTTTTCATCTGCATTTCATACACAGTCTCCACTCCCATCCACTGATGTCTCTACTCCTGGTCTACATGCAGATGTTCCTACTGAAACACCAGGTAGCTGAACCATCCGACTGAAGCTCCTGCCATCTGGTCCCCAACAATGAACCCTGTTTCAAAGTCACTTTCCTCTTCGTGATTCACATCAGAATCAGCTGGACCAAGATTTTCATAAATATCCCAATGCCACATGATTGGATGTTAGCTGCCTAGCCGTGTGGAAGCATCTGCATTTATTCTTTCTTTACTCGTTTGTTCAGGTTTTTCTCATCCATCTGTTGCTTCTTTCTGTATCTCTCTACAACTGGAAGGAACCAAAAAGCCTGAACACAGATGGGAGGAGGAGTGTGTTTACCACTAAGACCTGAATATGAATATAAACATAGATTTAAGTGCCTTTGGTTT